TGGGGCTCCATGGGTGTTGTGGGGATGGGGGGTCTATGCGGGGGCGTCTATGGGTTTTATGGGAGACTGAGGGGTCTATGGGGGGGGCTCTATGGGTGTTATGGAGCTGGGGGGTCTATGGGGGGGCTCTATGGGTGTTATGGGGCTGGGGGATCTATGGGGGGGCTCTATGGGTGTTATGGGGCTGGGGGATCTATGGGGGGGCTCTATGGGTGTTATGGAGCTGGGGGCTCTATGGGGGGGCTCTATGGGTGTTATGGGGCTGGGGGATCTATGGGGGGGCTCTGTGGGTGTCAGGGGCCCAGGGGGTCTGAGCACCCCCATTGCAGCCACAGCCCGGGGGAGTGCCCAGAGCTGGGGGGCAGAGCCAGGGGGGCACCGAGCTCCGGGTCTGGGGGCCGGGGGGGGCTCTGGAACAGGGGATTGGTGTGGAAATGGGGCTCCTCCTCCTCATCTTCATCCTCGTCCTCCTCAGAGCCGCTGTCGGTGCCTTCATCAGCATCATCCTCCTCATCACTGCCATCGGGCTCCCGGTGCTGGAGCGAGGAGCTGGCACCCACGGGCATGGACGTGGGGGAGATGCCCCCATCCTGGGGCATGGACACGGGGGAGATGCCCCCATCCTTGGCCACACGCTCCTGCGGGATGCTCCCACCCCGGGGCATGGACGTGGATGTCTTGGTCTCCTCTGTGCACGTCGTCTTGGGCCACCTGGGGTCATCGATTGGCTCCCGCTCCCACGGGATGGTCTCATCCCAGGGCAGGGACACGGGGGAGATGCTCCGGTCCATGGGGATGTGGCCGTGGTGCTCCTGCGGGACGCTCCCACCCACGGCCATGGACCCGGGGGAGATGTCCTCATCCGTGGGCACGTGGGAGATGCTCCTGGATGTGGGTCCGCGGGCTTGGTACTTGTGGGCGATGTTTTCATCCCTGGGCACGGCTGAGATGCTCCCGTCCATGGACACGGGGAAGCGGCTCCCGGATGTGGATCCAGGGCCTTGGTGCTCGTGGGAGATGTTCTCATCCATGGGCACGGGCTTGGGCGAGAGCCTGGTGTCTGTGCTGGGGGGGGTCACCCCTTCCGCACCCACCCCTGAGAAGACGATGGCGTCCTGAGCAGCCAGGACCCTGGAGCTGGGGTTACCGGGGCTGCTGGTGCTGGGGTCACTGGTGCTGGTGGTGCTGATGGCGTTGGTGCTGGTGTTGGTGCTGGTGGTGTTGGGAGTGTTGGGGGTCCCTGGCAGCCCCATGGCCGGTGCCAGCGCTGCGGCTTCTGGGTGTGGGGGTGGAGAGGGGTGAGAGGGGGCTGCGGGGGGGAGGAGAAGGGAGGAAGGAGGAAGAGGGAGAAGGAGGAAGGAGGGGAGAGGGGAGAGGGAAGAGGAAGAGGACACGGGGGGGGGGGGAGGGACCAGAGGAGGAAAGAGGAAGAGGAAGGAGGGGGAGGAAGTGCCCGGGGCACGGGGGGGGGGTCTGGGGGCACCTCCGAGGGGGGGGAAGCAACCGTCGGGCCCCCGGGGCAGGAACCCGGCTGGGGGCAGCGCCCCACAGCGCGCCCCACACATCGCTTCCGCGTCGGGCGCAGCGCGGCACAACCCCAGAGCAGGCACCGGAGAAGCCACCAGCGGGAGAAGGGGAACGGGGAAAGGGAGGGGGGGTCCCAAAGGAGGGGGGGGGACCCCAAAGGCTGCGAAGGGGCCTCGGGGGGGGGGGGGGAGGTCAATGGGGAACCCCCGCGGGGATTGGGGGGGGGCTCCTGGGGGGTGACCCCGGGGGGCGCGGGGTGACCCCAGGGTCCTTGGGGCACCCAGAGGTCACGGGGGCTCCCCCCGGTCTCGGGGGTCTCCGGATCCCTCCCTCACCCCCCCCTTACCGGCACCGCCGGCGCGCGGCGCGGGGCGTGTCTGCAGCTGGCCCCGCCCCCTCCCGGCCCCGCCCCGTTGTGGCCCCGCCCCCATCCTCCTGGTCCCGCCCCCCCCACGCTCCGGGCCGGTTCCATCTCTTTATTGCCCCCGCCGGGGGTCACCTGCGGTGCAGGTAGAAGCCGGTGGCGCCGTGGGGGGGGGCCAGGCCCAGCTCCTGCCCCCCCGCGGTGCTGAGGAAGGCCCCGGGGCACGCGGCCGCCTCGAAGCTGTGCGTGGAGCCCCCAGAAGCTCTTGTAGAAGGTGCAGGAGCGAGAACAGCTCCAGCAGCGCCGCGTCCTGCGGGGGGGCAGCGCTGGGGCACGGCCGCGGGGACCCCCCGGGACCGCTCCTCCGGGGGCACCGTGCGGGGGGGGGGGGGGGTCAGGGGTGCGGCGGCTTTGGGCTGAGCCTGATCGGGGGTCCCCGGACAGGGAGGACCCAGCTCTAAGCCCCCCCCCCCCCCCCCCCCAGCCCAGGGTGCCCCCAACTTGAGCAAGATTCTGCTGACCCCTATGGGTGCCCTCACCTTGGGGTGCTCCACCTATGGGTGACTCAACCTTGGGGTGCTCCCTCTGTGGGTGCCCTCACCTTGGGGTGCCCCCCCATGTGCTTGCCCTCACCTTAGGGTGCTCCACCTACGGGTGCCCTCACCTTAGGGTGCTCCACCTATGGGTGCCTCAACATTGGGGTGCTCCACCTATGGGTTCCCCCACCTTGGGATGCTCCCCATATGGGCGCCTTCACATGCGGGTGCTCCCCCTATGGGTGCCTCAACCTTGGGATTCCCCCTCTTGGGCTGACCCATAGCAAGGTGCCCCCCCCCGGCTGCGCCCCCCCTCACCACGAGCTGCAGGCGGGGCTCGGGGCCGGGGGTGCAGGACAGGGCCTGGCTGCCCCCCCGGATGCCCACGATGAGGGGGCAGCGCCGGCGCTCCAGGTGCGGGTTGGGCACCGCACTGAAGATCTCTGCGGGACACGGAGGGGCCGCGTGGGCCGGGGGGCAGCGGGCACGGCCCCCCCCACACCCCCACCCCCGGCACGCACCTTCCTGGTCGGCGCTGGCTCCCTGCAGGGGGGTGGGCACCAGGCGCCCCCCGCGCAGGCAGAGCCCGCGCTGCTCCGTGTCCCGCAGCACGAAGTGGTGGGGCCGGCCCCGGGGCAGCGGCGGCGCCGCCGAGGGCCCCGTCAGCTCCGGCGAGAGCTCTGCGGGGAGCGGGGGGGGGCACGGGGGGTGTCAGGGGCATGGGGGGGGCAGGGGACATCGTGGGTGCAGGAGGGCATCACTGGAACGTGGGGAGGGGGGGGCACGGGTGTGAGGGACGGGGGGACATGGGGGTGTCACGGGCGCACGGGGACATGGGGGTGTCACAGGGATGTGGGGACGGGGGTGTCACAGGGACACGGGGATGGGGATGTGAGACACAGGTGTGATGGATACTGGGGGATGTGGGACGTGGGGGCACGGGAAGGGGACACACAGGGATAAGGGGACATCGCATGGAACACGGGGACGCAGGGACACGGCGACGGGCACCGTGGGTCCGTGTCCCTGCGCCCCCGGCGCTACCTTTCCCCAGGAACTCATCGAACAAGGCCTCCATGTCGGGGTCGATGACAGACTCCGGCGCGGCTCCGGGGCCCGCGCCCGGCTCCGCCGAGACCCCCATCGGGGTGCTGCAGGGGCCAGGACCCCTCCTGGGGTCCCCGGGGCCCCTCGGCCCCGCTGCTGCCCGGGGAGGACAGGGACAGGTTGGGGTGAGGGCGGGCGCCCGCGGGTGCCACATCCCGGGGGAGGGATGGGACCAGCCCGTCCCCATGCCATCCCCATCCCGTCCCCATCCCATCCCATCCCCATCCCAAATCCATCCCATCCCCATCCCATCCCCATCCCAAATCCATCCCATCCCCATCCCATCCCCATCCCAAGTGCATCCCCTCCCCATCCCATCCCCATCCCGTCCCCATCCCGTCCCCATCCCGTCCCCATCCCGTCCCCATCCCATCCCCATCCCCTCCCCATCCCGTCCCCATCCCCTCCCCATCCCGTCCCCATCCCGTCCCCATCCCGTCCCCATCCCATCCCCATCCCATCCCCATCCCAAGTGCATCCCCTCCCCATCCCATCCCCATCCCGTCCCCATCCCGTCCCCATCCCGTCCCCATCCCGTCCCCATCCCATCCCCATCCCCTCCCCATCCCGTCCCCATCCCCTCCCCATCCCGTCCCCATCCCGTCCCCATCCCGTCCCCATCCCATCCCCATCCCATCCCCATCCCCTCCCCATCCCGTCCCCCCTCACCGGCCGCTGCTCTCAGTCGGCTCCAGAGTGAACGCGCTGCAGCCGCTGCCGGGCAGGACCCGGCTCGTTCCCGATCGGGCGGTTCCCGATGATTCCCCGCGTTCCCGAGCGTGTCCCGGGATGTGGCTCCGGCTCTTATAGAGCGGGGGAGCAGAGCCCGGCCCTGGCCTTGGGCGGTACCGCTTTGGGCAGGGCCGGGGATGGTGAAACCTCACCCGGTGCCCGTGTCCCGCCGTGTCCCGGGGTCCCCTCGGCTCTCCTGTGTCCCCTCCACTGCCACCGGGCCGGGGGCACCGTGTCCCCGTGCGCCGCATCCCCCTGTCCCTGCGATGCCCGCATGTTCCCGTGCCCCCCTATATCCCCGTGTCCCCATAGAGCTGCCTCCAGACACCCCTGTGTCCCCTGTCCCCACGCCCCGTCCCTGCAATGTCCCCGTGTCTCCCCCCTGTCCCCACACCCCCGTCTCCCTGTCCCCCTGTTCCCACGTCCCTCCGCCGTCCCCACCCCATCCCCGTGATCCCCGTTCCCGTCTCCCGGTGCCGGTCGGGACACGCCGGGGCTGGAGCGTCTCCAGCGTCCCCCGCTCCGGGAAGGAGCCGCCCGAGCCCGGGACGCGGAGCCCCCGACACGGGACCGGTGCCCTCGGCAGCTTTATTGGCCCGGGGCGTCACCGGGGGTCAGCGGGGGGGAGGTCCCGGTCCCCAACGGGGGGGTCCCGGTCCCCGGTGCCGGGCTCCGGGCACTCGGCGGCGCTGAAGTAGAAGTCGAGGCGGGTGCTGGCATCGTGGCACCGGGAGAGCCCCAGGGGCTGGTGGCCCCGCGCCGAGGTGCACAGGAACCAGCCGGGGTTCGCGGCCGACTCGAAGCGCCAGAGCCCGGCCCGGTACGAGCGGAAGAAGGTGAAGGCGGCCGAGGCCGCCCCGGCGCGGGGCAGCTCCCGGATGTCGGCGTCCTGCGGCGGCACCGGCACGGGACCGGGATGGGACCGTGGTGGGACCGGGAAGGGACCGGGGAGGGACCGGGATGGGACCGTGGTGGGACCGGGAAGGGACCGGGGAGGGACCGGGATGGGACCGGGATGGGACCGGGATGGGACCGTGGTGGGACCGGGACGGGACCGGGATGGGACCGGGGTAGGACCGGGATGGGACCGGGATGGGACCGGGGTGGGACCGGGATGGGACCGGGATGGGACCGGGGTGGGACCGGGGTGGGACCGGGATGGGACCGGGAAGGGACCGGGGAGGGACCGGGATGGGACCGGGCAGCGGCACGGGGAACGGGGGACCGCGAGAGCGGGGGCTGCGGTCGCCCCAGCCCCGTGGTGTCCCCTCCCCAGGGCGTCCCCATCCCTTTCAAGTCCCCATTTCTTTGCTGTACCCATCGATGTCCCCATCCCCACAGTGTCCCCGTGGTGCCCCCATCTCTTTGGTATCCTCTTCCCCCTGTTGTCCCCCTCCCCACTGTGTCCTCCTCCCTTTGGGGGCCCCGTGGTGTCCCTTCCCCAAGGGGTCCCCATGATGTCCCCATTCCCACTGGTGTCCTCATCCCCATGGACGCCCCCATCCCATTGGTGCCCCCATGGGGTCCCCATCGATATCCCCATCCTCAATGACGTCGCCATCGATGTCCCCATGCCCAATGACGTCCCCGTGCTCCAGCGGTGTCCCCATGGTGTTACCATCTCTTTGTGTCCCTATCCCCATTGATATCCCCATCCCTTTGGTGTCCCCATTGATGTCCCCGTGCCTGTGGTGTCTCCATGCCCACTGGTGTACCCATCCCATTGGTGTCCCCATCTCCATCGCCCTCGGTGTCCCCACTGATGTCCCCGTCCCCGTGGTGTCCCCATGCTCACTGGTGTCCCCAGTGATATCCTCATCCCTGCTGGTGTCTCCATCTCAGTGGTGTCCCATTGATGCCCCTATCCCATTGGTGTCCCCATCGATATCCCCATCCCCAATGATGTCCTCATTGATGTCCCCATCCCATCGGTGTCCCCATCCCCATTGAAGTCCCCCCATCCCCTTGGTATCCCCAAGATATCCCCATCCCCATGGATGCCCCCATCCCATTGGTGCCCCCATGGTGTCCCCATCGATATCCCCATCCCCAATGATGTCCCCATTGATGTCCCCATCCCTGTGGTATCCCCATGATGCCCCCATCCCCATGGACGCCCCCATCCCATTGGTGCCCCCATGGTGTCCCCATTGATATCCCCATCCCAAAAGATGTCCCCATTGATGTTCCCTTCCCACTGGTGTCCCCATCCCCATTGAAGTCCCCATCCCCTTGGTATCCCTCTCCCATGGTGCCCCCATCCCATTGGTGCCCCCATGGTGTCCCCATCGATATCCCCATCCCCAATGATGTCCTCATTGATGTCCCCATCCCATCGGTGTCCCCATCCCCATTGAAGTCGCCCCATCCCCTTGGTATCCCCAAGATATCCCCATCCCCATGGATGCCCCCATCCCATTGGTGCCCCCACGGTGTCCCCATCGATACCCCGGTGCTGCCCCCATTGATTCCCCACCCCGTTGGTGCCCCCCCCGCTGGCGGTGGCTGACCTGCAGGCTCAGGCTGGGCCGGGGCCCGGGGGCGCTGGCGAGGCACCGGGACCCGTTCTGGATGCCCATGACGAGGGGCAGCCGGGCGGGCGCGAAGGCGCGGTTGGGCACCCAAAACACCTCCTCTGGGGCCCCCCCCCCGCGTCAGGGCGCGCCCCGAGGGGGGGTCCCCATCGGTGTCCGCGCCCCCCAATCCGCAGGGCCCCCCCTCACCTTCCCGCGCCGCGTTGGCGCCCTGCAGGTGCCCGGCCACGAGCCGCCCGTCGCGCAGGTAAAGGCTCTTGTGGTCCACGTCGCGCATCCTGCGGGGACAGCGCGGACACCGCTGCCCCCCCCCGCTCCGCCCCGCGCGGCCCCGCGCCCGCAGCGCCACTCACCGGTACCGGAGCACTGCGCGGGGCCGCGGGGCGGGCGCGGCGGCTTCGGGCTCTGCGCGGAGACAGAGGAGGAGGAGGAGGAGGAGGAGGGCGAGGGCGAGCGCGGGTTTGCGCGCCAGGGCCCCGCCGCCGCCGCCTCCCGCTCCCGGGGGTCCGCGCTCACCCATGGGGCGCGGAAGGAAGGAGGAGGCGGCGGAGCTGTTGCCTCACCGCTGGCGGAGGGGGAAGCGCTGGTTCCGCCCCGCTGCGGGCTCGGCACGGCCCGGAACGGGGGGGGGGACGCGGGACAAACACACAGCGGGGACGGGGCACACGGGGGGCGACGGACACAACCGGGGGTCACCGCTCCCGTCGGAGCCGGCGCACGGGGGTCTCGAACCCTCAACCTCATCGCTGGAGGAGCAGCGCCCTCCTCGCTGCGCCACCGGAACGCGGATGTGTCAATGGGGAGGGGGCTGCAGGGGGGGCCGGGGGGCTCGCACGAACCTGGGTGGGGGTCCCTGTGGTGCGTGGGTGCCCAGCATCGCTGGGGGGGGGGGGGTGCCCCTGGGGTGCCTTTGATCCAGGGCAGGGGGTTCCTTCTAGCTGGGGTGGGGGCTCCTTGGGGTGCACAGGGTGCTTGTGAATCAGGGCAGGGGGCCTTTGGGGCGCATGGGTGCCGTCGGGTCCCTGGGGTGCCTGCTGGCTGGGCTGCGGGGTCCATAGGGTGCCCTTGAGCTAGGGCAGGGGCCCTGGTGTGCATGGGATGCCCGAGAGCCTGGGGTGGGCTCCTCGGTGTGCACGGGGTGCTGCCAATGAGGGTAGGCGGTCCCTGGGTTGCAGCGGGCACCCAGCAGCCTGGGTGACGGGTCCCTGTGGAGCAGGGGGTGCCTTGGCAGCCGAGCCCGGGGCTCTGTGGGGGCCAGGCCTAGAAGGGGGTGTTAAGGTGTTAAGGGGGGGGGAATCTCCCTTTCCCCATCCCATAACCCCCCCCTTGTCTCCTCCCATTCCCGGCAGCACCGGGAGCAGCACCAATGAGCAGGAATGGGGGGGCTGGAGCCCCCCGGAGACACCCCCGGGCTGCGGCCCCACAGGGGCAGCTCCGAGGCTCCACGAGGAGCCGAGCCCGGATCCAATGCACGTCCAGAGGCGGGAAAAGGGAGTGTTTTCCCGCCCCTTATGCAAATGAGCCACATGCAAATGAGGTAGGAGGGGCGATAGGAGTCCCAAGGCTCCCCCGGGGTCCTGCCCTTGCTGGCCCTGCCCCGGTGTCTGTGCTGGGTGCTGGGAGACATGGGTGCCCGTCCTGGTGTCAGGGTGCAGGGTGTCCGTCTGTGCTGGGTGCTGGGTGCTGGGTGCAGAGTGCAGCCATCGGTCCTGGGTACCAGAGACATGGGTGGCTGTCCAGCCTGAGTATCAGGGCCATGGGTGCTCATCTGTCCTGGGTGTCAGGGTGCAGGGTGTGTTAGGTGTCAGGGTGTAGGGTGCCTGTGCCGGGTGTCAGGGCACAGGGTGCCTGTGCCGGGTGTCAGGGTGCAGGGTGTGTTAGGTGTCAGGGTGTAGGGTGCCTGTGCCGGGTGTCAGGGTGCAGGGTGCCTGTGCTGGGTGTCAGTGTGCCTGTGCTGGGTGTCAGGGTGCAGGGTGTGTTAGGTGTCAGGGTGTAGGGTGCCTGTGCTGGGTGTCAGGGTGTAGGGTGCCTGTGCTGGGTGTCAGGACGCCTGTGTTTGGTGTCAGGGTGCAAGGTGCCTGTGTTGGGTGTCAGGGTGTAGGGTGTGCTGGGTGTCAGGGTGCAGGGTGTCTGTGTTGGGTGTCAGGGCGCAGGGTGCCTGTACTGTGTATCAGGGTGCAGGGTGCCTGTGCCGGGTGTCAAGCTGCAGGGTGCCTGTGCTGGGTGTCAGGGCGCAGGGTGCCTGTACTGTGTATCAGGGTGCAGGGTGCCTGTGCCGGGCGTCAGGGTGCCTGTGCTGGGTGTCAGGGTGCAGGGTGCCTGTGCCAGGTGTCAGGGTGCCTGTGCTGGGTGTCAGGGTGCAGGGTGCCTGTGCCAGGTGTCAGGGTGCCTGTGCTGGGTGTCAGGGCGCAGGGTGCCTGTACTGTGTATCAGGGTGCAGGGTGCCTGTGCCGGGTGTCAAGCTGCAGGGTGCCTGTGCCGGGTGTCAGGGTGCCTGTACTGGGTGTCAGGGTGCCTGTGCTGGGTGTCAGGGTGCCTGTGCCGGGTGTCAGGGTGCAGGGTGCCTGTGCCGGGTGTCAGGGTGCAGGGTGCCTGTGCTGGGTGTCAGGGCGCAGGGTGCCTGTGCTGGGTGTCAGGGTGCCTGTGCTGGGTGTCAGGGCGCAGGGTGCCTGTGCCGGGTGTCAGGGTGCCTGTGCCGGGTGTCAGGGTGCCTGTGCTGGGTGTCAGGGTGCAGGGTGCCTGTGTTGGGTGTCAGGGCGCAGGGTGCCTGTGCTGGGTGTCAGGGTGCAGGGTGCCTGTGCTGGGTGTCAGGGTGCAGGGTGCCTGTGCTGGGTGTCAGGGTGCCTGTGCCGGGTGTCAGGGTGCAGGGTGCCTGTGCTGGGTGTCAGGGTGCAGCCATCCGTCCGGCCTGGCTATCAGAGGCACTGGTGTCCGTGTGCCCTCAGCACCCGGGCCGTGGGTGTCTGTCCTGGGTGTCCAGGTGCAGGTCCCAGCTGTCCCACCTGCCCTGGGCACACGTGTGCCCGGTGTCCGTCTGTCCTGGGTGCCGGGCCCTGTCCTGGCTGCACCGCAGGGAGAGGCCGGTGCCGGCGCTGGGACGGCTCCAGCACTGGCAACCGCGGCGCCCGGTTGCATCAGGCACCGAGAGGCCACAATGGCCCCAGGTCCTGGCCACGGCCCCACCTGAATCCTGACCATCCGTAGGGATGAGGAGCTGGATTCAGGAGCCGCCGATCCCGGTGCTCCCTGGGTGTGAGCGGAGGCCTCGGGGCAAAGGGGGCACTCCTGGGGGCACAACTGTGCTCCCAGTGAAGGTCCCAGTTTATGGCCAAAGGGTGGGGGTTAGGGTTGGGGTTAAGGTTAGGGCTAGGGTTAGGGTCAGGCTTAGGGTTGGGGTTAGGGGTTAGGGTTAGGGTTGGGGTTAGGGTTTAGGGTTGGGGTTAGGGGTTAGGGTTGGGGTTAGGTTTGGGGTTGGGGTTAGGGTTAGGGGTTAGGTTTAGGGGTTAGGGTTAGGGTTGGTGTTAGGGTTGGGGTTAGGGTCAGGAGTAGGGTTAGGGTTAGGGTTAGCATTAGGGTTAGCGTTAGGCAGGTGAACCTGAGCCGACAGCACACAGAGCCCCCAGTGCCATCAGTGCAAGAGCCAGGAATCGGATCCATGACCCGGGTGGTCCCAGAAGCTGTTGGCTTCCCAATTGCCCAGCCTGAGCTCCTGCACCTCCATGATGGCTGGTGTCAGAGCTGCCTGGGGCCCGCATGCTGCTTGTGGAAGGAGAACCCAGAGGGGATGGGAGAACTGGGCTGTTCTTTGCAACAAAGCATTCAATAGATGGGATGCTTCTGCCAGCACCTCCTTGTCCCAGAGCTTGGATGAACACATGGGGACGTGAGGCTGGAAAATGCCATTCCCACCCCCGTGAGAGGCAGGACTCGGGATTCCAGTGTCCATTCCCCAGCGCCTCATCCGCACACACAGCGCCGGGGACTTGGCCTCAATGCTCTTGCCATTGTAACACAGGTCACCTGGGCTGCATGCTTGCTTTTGCCGTTGTGATCTGGGTGACTTTTACCTTCCTTATCCCGTGTGGGGCTCTCCCCAGCCTGGAGGCCGGAGCTGGAACACACCGGAGCCCCGGGGGTGGGAGGAAGACGGGAAGAGTCGGTGCCCCCCCGGTTGGGGTCGGCACAGCCATTGAGTGTGGTGCTGACAGTGCCGGCCCATGGGGAGCTCCCCGGGGCTGCTCCACCCTCTGTGTGTTAAACCCCTCCCGCAGCCCCAACGGCTCCCGGTGCCCATCCCGGGTCCGGGCCCGCACAATGGCGGAGCCGCTCGCCCCGCAAGATGGCGGCGGCGCTGAGGGACCGACCCCGCCGCCCGCGGCCGGCTCAGCGCGCATGCGCGACCGGCACCCGCGCCTCGAGCCGGCGGGCAGCGCGGGAGGGTCCATGCGGCCGCGCCGCTGCCAGGGGGTTTCGGGGGGGGAACCCGCCGGTTACCGGCAGCCCAGCAGCGCCCCGCGGGGAAGCGGCACGGCCCTGCCGTCCTCTCGACCCTCTGCTCGGCGGCCGCTTGTCCGCAGGGGTTCGCGGAAGGCGCAGCGGTAGCGGCAGCGGCGGGAGCGACTTCCCGCTCTTCCCCCGCTCTCTCGCAGTGGTTTGCGCCGCGGCGCGTTCGGCGCTCGCCATTGGCGGTGGGGGCAGAAGGGGCGGGGCGAGAAGGGTATAAGTAGAGGCGGGGCGGCGGGCGGCGCGCTCAGTCTGCCGCGGCCGAGTGAGCTGCTCCGGGGTCTCGCGCTCCCGCCGCCGCCGCCCCCGTCCCTCCCCGCTCCGCTCCGCCCCGCCAGCGCCATGAACGGGCAACTGAACGGCTTCCACGAGGTGCTCATCGAGGAGGGCACGTTCCTCTTCACCTCCGAGTCCGTGGGCGAGGGGCACCCAGGTGCGGGCCGCGGCCCAGGCGCGCAGGCGCAGGCCGCGGGGAGAAAGGGGGGGGGGGGGGAGGTGTGGGAATGGCCGCGCGCGCGCTCGGAGGTTGGGGGGGGAGGGGGGGTCTCCCGACGGCGCGTTCATGGGGGGGGGTGCGCGGTGACGCCACCGGGCGCGCGCGCACTGGCGGGGCGGCGCGCGCCGCATTGCGGCCCCCGCCGCGCACGTGCTTCCCGCGTGGGGTGTTGCGGGGGGGGGGGGTGCGACGCACACGCGACATGTCGTGATATGACGTGATGCGTGTTGTTGGGGTTTGGGGGAAACGGGGGGGGTGTGTGTGTGGTACCGGGTGACGCAGCGGTGGAGGGGGGGGTGTGCGTTGGGGCTGCCGTGACTCAGCCGTGACTGAGCAGATCCCGGTTGTGCCCCGCGGGGTCACCGGTTCTCCCCCCCGGAGGGGGGGGATGATGAGGTGAGGAGCCCCCCGCTTGTACCCACCCGCCGCTGGAGGCTCGGGACCCCTATGGGGGCTGCTCCAGCCCCCCCCGAGCTCCCCGTGGGTCACAGCTTGGATCCCCAGCACCCCCGGGATCGCTTCCCTAGTGCCTCACGGCCGCGGGGGTCTCTGTTGGAGCCGCGTTGCCCCACGGCACGGTCCGAGCTCTGCACCCGTGCTGTGGATGCCCTCGGGGCTCCCCACGCCCCGGGTCACGCGCTGCTGCCGCAGGGATCAGGCGTTGCTCTCTCGGGTGCGGTGCGAGGCTACCCCTGCGCTCTTTCACCCCAAGCAGAGCCCTGCGGAGCCGATCCCCTCTCGCCCCAGCCCGGGGCTGCCTCATCCTCTCCCAGATCTGTCCCCAAAGGTCGTGGCCAAGGACGCCGCGGTCCCTGGGAATTGCTTATTCACGGCCCAGCCCCGCGTGGCCTTTGGGAAGCTCCAGGGAGCAGGAAGGGGGCTCGCCCGCTCCCATAGCCCATCCCAGGCACTGGGCATCCCATGGGAGGTGGCGGGCGCGCAGCAGCACCCCCCAGGAGCCGGAAGCTGGCACGCTCCAGCTGGGAAAGCCGGGAGCCCCTGGCAGTGCCAGGCCCCTCCAGCACCGCTGTCTGTGGCTGAGGCCCAGCTCTGACCCGGCTGTAACTGGAGCTTAACTGGTAAATGCCTGGAATTCCAGGCTAAGAAGCCGGCTCGGGGACAAGGCGAGGGCTTTGTGCACTGCCGGAGCCCTTGGGATTAGCGGGAGGCTCGTGCTCCGCTTCCCAGCGGAAGGAAGGGCCGTGCCTGTCACAGCCTCACCCTCTGTCCCCCAGATAAAATCTGCGACCAGATCAGTGACGCTGTCCTGGACGCCCACCTCAAGCAGGACCCCGATGCCAAGGTGGCCTGTGGTGAGTGTGACAACCCCCTGGGGACATGAGGTGGGTGACAATGGTGCTGGGAGGGTGACACCGGCACTGACATCACCCTCCTGCCCTCCAGAAACGGTGGCAAAGACGGGGATGATCCTGCTGGCCGGGGAAATCACGTCCCGCGCGGCGGTGGACTACCAGAAGGTGGTTCGGGACACCATCAAGCACGTCGGTTATGATGACTCCTCCAAAGGTAGGTGCCAGGGAGGGGATGGGTGGCACAGCTCGGTGCTGGGGGGGGTCTCGGTACACTGGGCTCACCGTGGCCTTGGCTCTGCCCCAGGCTTTGACTACAAGACGTGCAACGTGCTGGTGGCGCTGGAGCAGCAGTCGCCCGACATCGCTCAGGGCGTGCATCTGGACCGCAGTGAGGAGGACATCGGTGCTGGGGACCAGGTCAGGCCTCGTGCCACTGGAGCCGCTGCGGCGTAGCCGGAGGAGCCGTCGGCTCACCCCCATTTCCCTCCCCTCGCACAGGGGCTGATGTTCGGCTACGCCACGGATGAGACGGAGGAGTGCATGCCGCTCACCATCGTCCTGGCGCACAAGCTCAACGCCAAGCTGGCCGAGCTGCGCCGCAACGGCACCCTGCCCTGGCTGCGCCCCGACTCCAAGACGCAGGTGAGGCTCTGGCCCCCATAACCTGCTGCCCACTATCCCCACGCCTCCCTGGACAGCCCCGTGTCCCCCGTGTCGGCAGGTGACGGTGCAGTACATGCAGGACCGCGGCGCTGTCATCCCCATCCGCGTGCACACCATCGTCATCTCGGTGCAGCACGACGAGGAGGTGTCCCTGGACGAGATGCGGGATGCGCTGAAGGAGAAGGTCATCAAGGCCGTGGTGCCGGCCAAGTACCTGGACGATGACACCATCTACCACCTCCAGCCCAGCGGCCGCTTTGTCATCGGCGGTCCCCAGGTAACACCGTGCTCCTGCTGACACCGTGGTGACGGTGGCAGGGATGGCACCATAGTGGTGATGGTGGTGACGGCGCCATAGTGGTGGTGGTGGTGGTGGTGGTGACGGTACCATAGTGGTGATGGTGGTGACGGCGCCATAGTGGTGATGGCACCATAGTGGCGATGGCACTACAGTGGTGGTGGTGGTGGTGGTGGTGGTGACGGTACCATAGTGGTGATGGCACCACAATGGTGGTTGGTGACGGCAGCAGCCATAGTGGTGATGGCACCACAATGGCGGTGGTGGGTGACATGGTGATGGTGACGATGGTGGTGATGTCCCCACAGGGTGACGCCGGCCTCACGGGCCGCAAGATCATCGTGGACACGTACGGGGGGTGGGGGGCACACGGCGGCGGCGCCTTCTCGGGGAAGGACTACACCAAAGTGGACCGCTCGGCAGCCTACGCCGCGCGCTGGGTGGCCAAGTCCCTGGTGAAGGCCGGGCTGTGCCGCAGGGTGCTGGTGCAGGTGGGTGCTGGCGCCTCTCCCCCTCCCCGCACTGCTTTGGGACCGGGTCCTCAGGCTTAATCCATGCTCCCCCCGTCCCCACCTTTAGGTGTCGTACGCCATCGGGGTGTCCCACCCCTTGTCCATCTCCATCTTCCACTACGGCACCTCCCAGAAGAGCGAGCGGGAGCTGCTGGAGATCGTCAAGAAGAACTTCGACCTTCGCCCCGGGGTGATCGTCAGGTAATGGGGCTGGGGGGGGCACAGGGGGAATGGAGCAGGGCTTGGGGACACACACGGAGTGTGGGGGGGGGAACTGATCACTTGTGTCATTGCAGGGACCTGGACCTGAAGAAGCCCCTCTATCAGAGGACCGCAGCCTATGGCCACTTCGGTAGGGACAGTTTCCCTTGGGAAGTGCCCAAAAAACTCAAGTACTGAGGAAAATCCTGGCCCTTGTCAGGCTTTTCCCCCCACCCCGGCGGGCGTAGGCTACAGAGAAGCCCCTGGGCTCTGGGGGTAAGAGCTGGGCCCGTCCCCAGCCCCCCCCTCCATGTCTCTCCCTCTTCCCTCTCGCCATGGGTTCCATGGGGACCACACGTGGCCTCGCCCCCCCCCCAACCCCTCCGGCTGCTCTTGAAACCTGGTGGCACATCCGAGTTCAGAGATGGCAAAAAGCCCCCCCCGAGGGGGGGTTAACACCGTGTTCCCCCCCCCCACCTCACGGTGCAGATGGAGCTGGGGGGGGGTGGGGGGGCCCTGCTGGTGCTGGACTTGTCCTAACCCTGATTTTAACTCCTTATCCCTCAGAGGACACACATGGGGGGACACAACCACACACATGGGTTGGGGGGGGGACACATGGTGTTCCCCCCTCCCCATGTGAGGAGGAAAACCCCTTTGCTGGTTGTTTTAAGTTGTATTTTTTAGCCAACAACCGAAGTGACTCCACAAACTGCACAACCCCCCCTGGGGGGGGAGGGGGGGCGGCTCAGCCGAGCTTAGGGATGGATCGTGGGGGGGGCCTCAAAGCTTTTTTTGGGGGGGGGGGTGTTGATACTTGAACGTGTTTTTCTAGCGGTGTATTTATTGTGTGCTGAGGGGGGGTGTGAGTACAGAGAAGCCCCCGGCTCACGCGGCAGCTCTTGATTCCCCCCTCCAGCATCCCCCCCCCAACTCCGACTCCATCACCCCCCCCCCCCCCCCAGTTCCCACTCCAAAGCGGGGTGACAGCCCCGGGACAGGGCGCTTTGGCCGGTGTGGTACAGAGAAGCCGGCTTGTTTACTGCCCGTCCCAGGCCCCCCAAGTGCCTTGGCAAAGGGGGGGGGAGGGAAACGGGGGAGGGGGTGAAGGGGGGGGGTTCCCTTCCCCCCCCCCCCTTTTTGTTTTTTATTTTATTTCCCTTCTTTTCCCGAGGTTTTTATTCCATTTTGTTCGGATTCCACCAAAATGCTCCCAAATGGCAAATAAAGACTGGGTTCGAAGCAGCTGCCCTCAGCCTGTGCTGGGGGGGAGGGAGCAGGCTCAGAGCTCGGGGTCCCCCCTCACTGTGTCCGTGTCCCCCCCATCGTCACCCCCCTTTTCCTCCTCCTCCTCGCGCCAGTCGGCGAAGGCGAGCTCCTGCGCCAGGCGCTCCGGGGGGGGCCGCCCCACGGCCAGGTTCCGCAGGGAGATGCAGGTCATCAGCACGCTGTGGGGCAGGGGGGGCAGTGAGGAGGGAACTAATGGGAAGTTGGGGGTCAGTAGCAAGGTTTGGGGTGTCTGTGTTTGTGGGGGGGGTCAATAATGAGAGCTTACAGCAGGTTTGGGGGGGGGCAGTGATGGGGGATTGATGGTCAGTAGTAAGGATGGGGGGAGCTGATGGGGTTGGGGGTCACAGCTGAGGTGACCGGGATGATGGGGGGGTGGGGGGCTGTAACAAGGGGGTTGGGGTCCATAATGAGAGTTTGAGGGGGGTCACATCAATGAGGGGTTGAGGATCAGTGCTGAGGGTGGGCAGGGATGTCAGTGATGGGGGGGGTAGAAGGAGGCTTTGAAGGTCAGGGATGGGTTTGGGGGGCCTGTAAAAGTGTGGGGGGGGCAGTGCCAAGGTTGGGGTGTCTGTGATGGGGGGGTCAATAACAGGGGGATTGGTGAGGAGGGATTTGGGGGGGGCATAGTGAGAGTTTGGGGCACAGTGATGGGGGGGGTGGCCCAAAAGGGTCACTGATGGGGTTGGGGGGGCCATAACAAGAGGGTCCCAGTGATGAGGGTTTGCAGGTGAGCAAAAAAGGCTTTGGGGGGGTCCATGAGGGGTTAGGGGTCAATAATGGGGGGGAGGGGGCAAAGATGAGGTTTGGGGGGGGGCAGAGATGAGGGGTTGTGGGTCAGTGCCAGGGTTTGGGGTGTTTGTGATGGGGGGGGGCAGTAACAGGTTGGGGGGGTGGTGAGGAGGGATTTGGGGGGCACATAAGGATGGGGGGTCACAGTAATGAGGGGCCCTAATGAGAGATTTGGGGGGGCAGTGATGGAGAGATGGGGTAGGCAAGTGGTTGGGGGTCTGTAATGAGAGTCTGGGGGGGCAGTGATGGGCTGGGGTCAAGGATGAGGGTTAGGGGGATCACAGTAATGAGTTTGGGGGGGGCTGACAAGGGGTTGGGGGTCCGTAATAGTTTGGGGGTGCAGTGACAAGGTTATGGGGGTCACATCAATGAGGATTTGAGGGTCAGTGCTGAGGCCGGGGAGGGATGTCAGTGATGGGGGGGATGAGGGTTTTGAGGGTGGCGTAATGAGAGCACCCCAGTAATGGGGGTTGGGAGGGGTCCATGAGGGGTTGGGGTCAATAATGGCGGATGGGGGGGCAAAGATAAGGTTTGGGGGGGTCTGCAGTGAGAGTTCAGGGAGGGCAGTAACAAGGCTGGGTGGAGCAGTGAGGGCGTTTGGGGGTCAGTGATAGGGTTGGGGGTCAGTGATGGGGTTGGGATCACTGATGGGCTTGGGGATCAGTGATGGGTTTGGGGGTCAGTGATGGGGTTGGGGTCAGTGATAGGGTTGGGGTCACTGATGGGCTTGGGATCACTGATGGGCTTGGGAATCAGTGATGGGGGTTTGGGGGTCAGTGATGGGGTTGGGGTCAGTGATGGGGCTTGGGGGTCAGTGTTAGTTTTGGGGTCAGTGATGGGTCTTGGGGTCAGTGATAGGGTTGGGGTCACTGACGGGGTTTGGGGTCGATGGGACTTGGGGGTCAGTGATAGGGTTGGGGTCAGTGATGGGTTTGGGGTCAGTGATAGGGTTGGGGTCAGTGATAGGATTGGGGTCAGTGATGGGGTTCCAGGTCAGTGATGGGGTTGGGGTCAGTGATAGGGTTGTGGTCAATGATGGGGGTTGGGGTCAATGATGGTGCTTGGGTATCAGTGATGGGGTTTGGGGTCAGTGATGGGGTTTGGGGGTCAGTGATAGGGTTGTGGTCAATGATGGGGTTAGGGGTCAATGATGGTGCTTGGGTATCAGTGATGGGGTTTGGGGTCAGTGATGGGGTTTGGGGACTTGGGGTCAATGATAGGGTTTGGGTCAGTGATAGGGTTGGGGTCAATGATAGGCTTGGGGTCAGTGATGGGCTTGGGGGTCAGTGATAGGGTTGGGGTCAATGATGGGCTTGGGGGTCAGTGATAGTTTTGGGGTCAGTGATGGGCTTGGCGGTCAGTGATGGGCTTGGGGGTCAGTGATAGTTTTGGGGTCAGTGATAGGGGTTGGGGTCAGTAATGGGGTTTGGTGGTCAGTGATGTGGTTGGGGTTCAGTGATGGGGTTGGGGTCAGTGATAGGGTTGGGATCACTGAGGGGGTTTGGGGTCCCCCCAGGGTTTGGGGTCAATGATGGGGTTTGGGGGTCAGTGATGGGCTTGGGGTCAATGATAGGGTTGGTTTCAATGATAGGGTTTGGATCAGTGATGGGGGTTTGGGGTCAGTGAATGGGTTTGGGTCATTGATGGGTTTTGGGGTTCCCCCGGTACTTGGGGTCATTGATGGCCTTGGAGTCCCCCCATGTTTTTAGGGGGTGATAGCAGTGATGTCTCTGTTCCCCTCTCACCTCCTACGGGAACAAACGGAGCTTCCTACGCAGGAACCTCCGCAGCCGCTGCCCGAGCCCGGCCCCGAGCTCCCGTTCCCGTTCCCTCCGTTCCCGGCGCAGCAGCAGCGCCACCAGCGGGTCCTCGGCGGCACCGGGGGGCAGCGGCTCCCCCAGCAGCGGCCGCAGCTCCGGGGGCAGTGGCTCGGGGGCTGCAAGGCAGAAGGGGGGGGGACACGAGCTCAGTGACAGCGGCGGGGGGGGGAACCCCCCCCCCGCCGCTGTCACTGAGCTCGTGTCCCCCCCTTTCCTTTGCACCCCAATCTCATCCCCGTATCCCGGTGCTCACCGGTGCCGTTACGTGCCCGGTCCCGCAGCTCCTGCAGCCGGCTCAGGTTGAGCTCCAGCGCCCGCGCCGTGGTGTTCACGTATAGGTAGAGGTAGCACGAGGGCTCCGCCGACACCGTGTGCACCTTGTGGTACTGCCCCGCCGGCAGCTGTGGGGCAACGGGGATCAGGCCCCATGGACACACTCCCCCCCACCCCGCTCTCACCTGCATCCCCTTGTGCTCACCTGCATCCCCTTGTGCTCACCTGCATCACTGTGTCCTCACCCGAGTCCCCACACACTCACCTGCACCCCCCATGCTCACCTGCATCCCCCCGCTCTCACCTGCATCCCCTTGTGCTCACCTGCATCACTGTGTCCTCACCTGAGTCCCCCCACACTCACCTGCACCCCCCATGCTCACCTGCATCCCCCTGCATCCCCTTGCTCTCACCTGCACCTCCCTGTGCTCACCTGCATCCCCTTGTGCTCATCTGCATCACTGTGTCCTCACCAGCATCCCCCCTGCTCTCACCTGCATCCCCTTGCGCTCATCTGCACCCCCCCATGCTCACCTGCATCCCCTTGTGTTCACCTGCATCAGTGTCCTCACCTGCACCCCCCATGCTCACCTGCATCCCCCCGCTCTCACCTGCACCCCCCTGTGCTCACCTGCATCACTGTGTCCTCACCTGAGTCCCCCCACACTCACTGCACCCCCCATGCTCACCTGCATCCCCCTGCATCCCCTTGCTCTCACCTGCACCCCCCTGTGCTCACCTGCACCCCCCCGCTCTCACCTGTACCCCCTATGCTCACCTGTACCCCCCCGCTCCCACCTGCACCCCCTGTCTCTCACCTGCATCCCTCTCCTCCCCGCAGCGAGTGGTTGCGGTGCTGCTCCACCAGCTCCACCAGCACCTCTCCGCGCAGCACCCGCAGGCTCGTGTTGCCCAGGTCCTCACTCACAAAGTTCTCCAAGTGCAGCCCTATGGGGATGGACACCAATGGGGTTCAGGCCCCCCCCTCCCCATCACTGGGGTTCAACCCCCCCCCGGCGCTGCCCCGTACCGGGGAAGTCGGCGGATGAAGACGACGTCCGTGTGCCGGTCCAGGCTGCTCTCGAGCTCCTGCAGCCGCTGCCTCCACGGCGACAGCTCCAGCAGCAGCGGCAGCACCCAGGGCGTGCGGCGCCACGGGGACCAGGGCGCCCGCACCACGTCCACGCGCGGGTCCACGAGCCTGCAGCACCCGGGGGCCCTCAGCACTCCCCAACAGCACCTTTGGGGGTGCTGCTCCCCACATCCCCCCCCCAAACCTCTGCTGGAAGCGGTCGTTGATGGAGACCCAGATGTCGAAGTAGATGCGGGG